AGATCGGGGATCCTCCCAGCAAGCTACCCAATGCAGAGAAGGAGGGCAAACGAGCTGGCCAATCAGAAACAGCACGAGGGGCGGGCTCGCTCGGCGCGAAGTTCGGACCCGGGAATTCCGAAGGCGGGGTCGGCGCTGCCCGCGCACTGAGGCCGCGCCCCTCCTGGCCTCGCTTCCTCGCTGTCAAACAGCCGCAGGAGAGCCAGCCCCGGCCGGAGCTCGAGAGGTCCTGGGCTGCCGCACAGGCTGGCACTGCCTGGAGAGGGGACCACTCCGAGACTGCACCGCGCGGTAGATACGAACCGGGCTGGGGCGGGGAGGAAAAATGCTGGTTTTGCCTTGCATGATCCTGGGGAGCCCTTTCCTGTTTTTACCCCACCTGGAGAAGTCAGGAAGCAGGGTTTTAGATCTGCTTGGTTGGAGAACGTAGAGACTCGTTTGCACTGCCTTTTGGGGGTGACAGTGGATACATTTTCTACTGTGGTTCAGACTAACTAGTTATAAGTGTGGGATTGGCCAGAAGAGCCAGGCGCGGGCTGGCAGGAGGGTTACTCCATTTGGATAAAAATGTTTGACAGAAAGAAGCTTCTCTTCTGCAGATTACACCGAGGTGACAAGTTAGTATCACACAGAAGCAGGAACCCACCCCCAACCCATACACCTACAGAACTTCCCTAGAAGCTGCCTAATGTATTGTTGCCTTGCACAGATTGAAGGCTCCTGGAATATCCTGCGGACTGAGGATCTGATTCAACTTAATGCCATAGGACGCCTTCGTTTTTGCACTACCCTGGGACCTTCACCAGATTTTTCAGTTGCAAATCTGTTGACAGCCAATTTTACATAACATCCTAGGCTCCTCGCACTCTGAATTTGCATTACTCAGGGAGTGTGCCCAAAGTTGAAATTGCCCAAAGCACAGCTCAAGCTTGCATCAGAACGAAAGTGAACTTAGGCCAGCTGTGCATGGCCCAGGAGTGGGAAAGGTGATGGATTCCTGAAGTGAAAGAGGTTGTGGAGGGGGCACCGCCCATGCTGCCCTGCTTCCAGCTGCTGCGCATAGGGGGCGGCAAGGGTGTCGATCTCTACACCTTCCACCCTCCAAGCGGGACTGGCTGCACCTACCGCCTGGGCTGCCGGGCCGACCTGTGTGATGTGGCCCTGCGGCCCCAGCAGGAGCCTGGCCTCATCTCTGGAGTCCACGCAGAGCTGCATGCTGAGCGCCGGGGCGATGACTGGAGGGTCAGCCTGGAGGACCATAGCAGCCAAGGTGAGGAGTGAGCAGAGCAGCCTTGCACCTGGGCAGCCACAGTTCTGGGCTGGAATGAGTCTCCACAGGGACCCTGCCTGCCTCCCAAACTCCCCATCAGGTTGGATGGACAATTGTCATCCAGACCTGTCTTCCCATTAAGGAGTGTGCAGTATCAGAAGCTCTTTCCAGGGCTGATCCTTGATGGGCCCTGTTTAGCTCATACAAGGGCTGGTAGGTAGATCCAGGGCATGGGGTATCATCAGGGCAGTATCACATTGGGATTGTTCTGGAGTCTTTGGGGACCAAGCTCAGACATGACTCAGTTTCCATATCTGCGAAGGCACATTGGTCTTTGCTTAGGACAGTTATATGTTGAGTTGTTTGAATGATCTGGGAGTGTCTTCCTTACTTCCTGATTTACATCCAATCCTCAGGCTTGGATTCACATTGAGTTCTGCCACTGGCCCCTGGCATTGTCACTCAGGCCTGTCACTTCACCTCTCTATGTCTTAGGTTACTCTTAGGTAAGATGTAAGTCTTTGCTAGGTCTGCTTGGGAAGTGTTGTGGGGATTGGTTAACTATAGCAGCCAATATTCATTTAGTGCTTACTCTTAAGAGCCAAGCACTGTTCTGAGTGCACTAAATGTAAATGAGCACAAATATCATCCCCATTTTACAGACAAGGAAAGTGAGGTACAAAGAGGCTAATTTGTCCAGGGTCATATGGCTGGTAAGTGGTGGAGTTTGAATTTGAACCCAGACAGTCTGAGCTATGTTGATAAGTGCTGAGTTGGAGCTGCGTGACAGCATCTCAGAGAATCAGACCTCAGTGGTGTGATGGAAGTTCATTCCCTCCACATGCCCTGTGGGAGGGCATAAGAAAAATAAACATTCCCAACTCACAAGGAGTTCATATCTGATGTCACCTGGAGGGACTTAGAATGTAAGAATTTGATGACAGGTGTCATGTTCTTCCTCGTGTTCCCCAGAAAATCAAACAGGACCAGATTTCTCCACTTCTGACCAGTTGTTTGTTTTTGTCGTTCTGTCTGGTGCCCTACCATCAACAGGGACTTTGGTCAATAATGTCCGACTCCCAAGGGGTCACAGGCTGGAGTTGAGTGATGGTGACCTTCTGACCTTTGGTCCAGAAGGCCCCCCAGGAACCAGCCCCTCGGAGTTCTACATGTTTCAGCAAGTCCGAGTCAAACCTCAAGATTTTGCTGCCATTACCATTCCACGGTCTAGGGGAGACCAGGGAACCGGGACTGGTTTCCAGCCCGTACTGCCCTCCCAGGGGGCTCCACAGCGCCCCCTCAGCACCCTCTCCCCTGCCCCCAAAGCCACGCTGATCCTCAACTCCATTGGCAGCCTCAGCAAGCTCCACTCCCAGCCCCTCACCTTCTCTCGGAGTGGGGGGGTGCTACAGAGCCAGCCCACTCCAACTCCCCCTGGGGAAGTAGGGACCACCCCTTCTGCCCCAGCCCCAAGAAACCGGAGGAAATCAGCTCACCGAGTGCTGGCAGAACTGGATGATGAGAGAGAGGCTCCCGAGAGCCCCCCACCAGTCCTTATGGAGCCCAGGAAGAAACTCCGTGTAGAGAAGACTCCGACACCCAATGGGTAAGTGGAAAAATCTCGGTCTCAGTATTTCACTGCCTTGATTCCGTTTTAGAGCCCTAGGCTGGGAGGTGGCTCTCTGCTTGGGGGGTTGGAGGTGGAACAGATTTTGGAATGGCAAGACCTAGGTTGGTTCTACTAACCAGATTCACCATTCGTCTAGTAAATCTATCTAGGTTCACTCTCAGTTATCCAGGGGAAAGTCCTAGGCTACTGCAGGTTTCCAGTGACCCTGGTTTTTGTGTCACTTTCTTCAGAAATCGACGTGGGCGTCCTCGGAAGCACCCAGTGAGCACGCCCAGGGCCTCCCCTGCAGTTGGGGGCGGGGAGCCCTGTGCAGCCCCTTGTTGCTGCCTACCCCAAGAAGAGACAGTAGCCTGGGTTCAGTGTGATGGTTGTGACATCTGGTTCCACGTGGCCTGTGTTGGCTGCAGCATCCAGGCTGCCAGGGAAGCCGACTTTCGATGCCCAGGGTGTCGTGTAGGTATCCAGACCTAAGGCCCACCACCAAAGCACCAGAGGACAGAGCTGGCACTTCCAGGTGGACACTGGGGTGCCAGTGGATCCTAAGAGATACCCTCTTTTCCCTTGCCTCCCCAGGAGGGAATGACTGCAGGGGAAGGGTCCATGGCTATGGATGTCAATTCAAGGCCTGGAGCAAGCCCTCATGGCCAAGGTGACAGAAGAGATGGTTTCCTGCCAAAGATATTGCTGCATCTAGGAAGTTGCTCCAGCTAGGAAGTGAGCTGGAGAGTCCCACTTATAAGATGTTGTCATGGACCCTAGGATGTCTGTGGTCAAGAGCACCCATAAATTGCAGGGGTCATGCCTGGGAAGGTGGAAGCCCCAGACTTGAACAAGCAAGTTCTTAATGTCCTTGGATGGCATCACCTAAGGCACCTCTGGGAAGACCTAGGGCACAGCCCCAGACTTCCTTCTTACATTGTGAGTAATCCTTCCACTGACAATGATTGTGACCTGGCTTTTCAGAGCTTTGCTTCCATTTCCAAATAAAGAATAAGCAGCTTCTGTCCGTGGGTCTGATACTCCTTGCTTTCCAATTCTTGGGAGAATGGACTTGGTAAAGTCTGGAGAACTAAATCAGATTCTTAGGGGAAGAGAGATGAGCAGACAAGGCACAGAGAAATATGAACCTACTCACTGAAAAGGTGCATGGGATGAACTGCAGATAGAAAGACAGGAAAAAAGGTAATTACAGTTTCTCGTTTAAAGGAAAACAGATCCAGTGCCATTCAAATAAGGTATTTGGAATTTGGTCAAGTTCATGAGGGTGGCAGAACTTTTACAAGTTCCACCAGTACTACCAGGAAGATAAAATCTGGGACACGGGCTAGAGCAGATGCGACCTGGTCCAGTATATCAGTTGATCCACATATGCTACAATGACTCTCTTCTGAGTCTTACTCCAAGCCAAGATGCTATCAAAGCATCATTTCTATGGTTCTAATTAGGAAAGCCTCATCTTGACCTATTCTATTGCAATCTGCATGTCCATCCCCTTCCATCTCCTACTTATTACCAACCCAACTTTTTTACACATTGAGGAAAGGTTCAGAGCAAGGGCCCCAATCAGGTAGTGGCAGAGCCAGGACTAAAATTGGGGTGGGGTGGGGTGGGGTGGGGTGAGTCACTTACAGACAGGGTAGGCAAAAACCTTAGGTGGGAACCAAACGGACCCCGTATCAAGAACGCAAAAGGTGGGATTTCTGGTTGGGGTGATAAACAGAAGAAAAAAGTTATCTAGAAGATTCAATTTCTTGGCATAAAGCCACTAAGGACTTTTAGAGTAGAGTGAGGAAAAGCAAAAAGGCAGCTTCTAATAGGAAATGGACTATGCAGTAACTGCATCTTTGGGCAAAAATAAGGCACTTACCTCCAATTTTCCCAGAAGCGAGGTCACAGGATCCTAAGAACTAAGTTCACACCCATATAAGCCCTCTACTTATAAACTCAGATTCCAATCCCAGATCTCCCTGTGACATTGTGACTCTCAGCAGCTTAAAGGGCACCTTAGCTACAGGGTCATTTGGGTCTGAGAGCTGTTAATATCCACTATTAGATATCCCCGTCCACCCTTCAGTAACCAAAGGAGGATAAACCAAAGACAAGTGTATCCATCTACCGGGTCCCAGGCTTCTTTATTTAAGCACAAAGTGATTAGTGATGTGGGGATTAAAATCAAGAGCATCATTGAACTTCACCTTCCCTCCAATCAGTTACCCCAAACTCCCTGCCCCACACCCTTTGTGTCCCCAATTCCTTTCTTAGTGAATGAAGAACTTAATCCCAAAGCCCTGGTACAAACCCCAGGGTTCTCTCCCTAGCTCTCCCCTTCCTCTGCCCTCCACCTCATTCCTGGGAAGGGCAGGCACCTCAGTTTGAATGCATGGGAGAGCCCAGAGTGGTGACAGACACCGAGGGAAAGGCCTCACCCTCAGGGAATGGGACCGGGGAGTACAGTGTGGTGAAGTGAGGGCCCCCGTAGCCCGGGGTACTAAAGTGGGGCCCTGGTGCCAGAGGAAAGGATACTGGTCCCCCTGAGAAAGGAGACCCAGCAGCCTCAAAATCCTCTCGTTGCGAATAGTCACTGCTTGATCGTTTGCCCTTCTGGCGACGGTTGCAGAACCACACTCGGACCACCTAGGGGTGGAGGATATGGGGGGGTGACAATCGATCAGAAGCTCTGGGAGGCGTGACCGGGGAGGAGATGGAGCACGCAAGGACAGGGGACAGGGGCACTCACATCCTTCTCAAGCCCGAGCTGCTGGGCGATGTGGCTGATCTGCTGCAGGGTAGGTTTTGGGCACTGCAGGAACATGCTCTCCAGGTTGCCTCTCACTCGGTTCTCGATACTAGTCCTCTTTCTCTTCCGGGCCTGCACAAGGGTCTCTGCTTTGCATATCTGGGCAGGCGGGGAGGGGATGACAAGGGAGGAAACGGGAAGGCCAGCCTCGAACCTGCTGAGCAGCAGCACCACAGGGTCAGTGACTCCAGAGCAAACTGCTAAGGAGCACTGGCTGGATGAGTCGCCAGGTGATATGAAAAATACAGATCCCGGAAGAGTGGATTTAGACCAGTGGCCCTGGCCCTCCTCCCAGCAGATCTGAGGAATTCCACTCCATTCTGGCGAGAACTATTGACTCCACGGGGGAGAGCTGCCAGCCAGGCATGGAAGCAGAAATTGGGCTGAGGCAGGGTCAGCCCTTAGGCATCCCTCCCACCCTCACCTCCTGTAGATTCTCGTTGTTGTCAGCTTCCTCCACCCACTTCTGCAGCAGGGGCCGCAGCTTACACATGTTCTTGAAACTGAGCTGCAGAGCCTCAAAACGGCAGATGGTCGTTTGGCTGAACACTTTCCCTGGGGAGGTGGGTTGAAAGAAGCAAGATGAGGCAGCAGGCCTTTGAGGGCCCTTGTGACCGCAAGACCCAGGCCTCACCACCTCTTCCATTCTCACAAGATCCCCCACCAGGGTCCTACTTCTTCCCAGAGAGAAATCAAGGCCCAAGGACAGAATCTTTTCCTACTGTATCCCTGGTGGGGAGGAAAGGCCCAAATTCAGGGATGTTCCTTCCAGGGGAGATGTGGTCCCTGTGTTCCGTGGGTCAGAACACGTTGAGGGAGACTCACCAAAGAGAACCCCTAGGGTGAGCCCCACATCGGCCTGGGTATATCCCAGGGTGATCCTCTTCTGCTTCAGGAGCTTGGCAAATTGTTCCAGGTCTTTCTGAAGAGCTTTGATGTCCTGGGACTGCATTCAAAAAGACAGGACACATGAGAACGTAAACATACCATTTATCCACCCCACTCCCCTTCCTTTTGGGCCCCAAGGAATGGCCTGTGGGAGTATCTCTGCCTCCAGACTGCCCATCTAATATCTAGAAATAACCTATATACAACTGTCATTTACCCCAGAAAGTGACACATCCATCAGACACAGGGAACCAGTCAATAATGGAAAGAGGCCCCAGCCTCAGTGAGAACACCTATCAGGTTATGAAGGGACCTCCAGTCTTTTTAGGTCATTTAATACTCACAAAAGCTTTTTGATGAGGAATTAGCCCTAGCCTGAGGAAGTTCTAAGACTAGCGAAATAAAGAGCATCATGTCTCTCTGAGTCTCATTCCAAATACACTCTCCATCTTGCCTTGAGGGTCCCACACACTATGACACAGCGTGTACAAACAGAAATAGACACACTACAAAACAGGTGTCATAAGAAGTATGAATAAAGTGCTTTGTATACAGTTAGTGCTCAATCTAAAAAATCTGATTATGCCTTATTTTTACTGTTTCTTTTTGCAATATAGAAGCATCCTCTCTAATTTCAACAGCACCTTCTGTAAGCCAGTGGCTACACAAAGTAGACAAAAATTCCCTGGCCTCATGCAGCTTTCATTCTGATGTAGAGAGAAAAATAACTATTATCCAGTATGTTAGAAGCGCTACGGAAGAGTAAAGCAGGGGAGGGGATGATGGGGAAGGTGAAATTTTTAAATAAGATAGTCAGAGATGATGTTTGAGCAAAAGGAAGGAGCCAAGAGGAAAGGCGTTGGGCAGGGGGTGGGGGGGAGGCGGTAGTAGCAAGGCCAAAAGCAAAGCCAGCAGGGTAAGAGGATGGAGGAATGGTAAAAAAAAGGGTCTGATGAGGTCAGGGAGGTGAGCAGGGCAGATTCTGGAGATGCTGCAGCAACTTTGGTTTACTCAGTGAAATGGAAAGCTGCAAAAAGGTTTTGTGCAGTAAAGTGATCTCTCACATTTGAAAATGTTCACTCCAGTTGATGTATTGGCCATAGACTAAGGAGGAGGCAACTGCAGTCATCCCAGCATAGATGATGGTGGCTGGGACCAGACTGGCTCTAAGTGATTGATTCAGGATGTATTTCCAAGGTAAAGATAGTGGTGTCTCCAAAGGTTTGGATGTAAAGATGTGAAAGGAATGAGGATGACTGGTTTGGGCCTTGAGCTACTGGGTAATGGACAGGGTGGGGCAGTGCAGGGAGCCATCCCAGCGGGAGACAAAATGCAGTGGTCAGGTCTACAAGGTATTTGAGCCTTGAGGGTGGATGAGAGGAAGTAAAGGTAGACAGAGCAGAGTTTGATGGACGGAGCCCCGAGGCTCTCCAATGAACGCCAGTGCAGTCCCGGAAACCTAAAAGAAGTATTTCCAGGGTGATCAATCACACCAAACTCAAATAGGCTAACTTCCATTCCCAACTTCTGCTCAACCAATGTTGCAAACCTAAAAATGTCCCCAGCTGTCCCCATCTCGGCTTTTCCAAATCATATTTTGGGGACTTGAAACAAGGGAAACCCCAGTTCGAACCCTAGGTTAATCATTTAGCAGTTAAGACCCGTGAAATAGGTTAATAATACCTCCCTGGGAGATTTTGTGCTGGTTAATGAGATAATGATGTAGAAACTGAGCCCACAGCCAGGCACTTAGGAAATGGACCACAATTGGCAGCCATTATTATTCAAGGCTCAGCAGTAGCCTCTTGCAAAAAGTCTAGGGCTACTTGGTCAGCTGAAACCACTCACACCTCCTTCTGAGGTCTAAAGGCTTAGTACTAGATCTCTAATTGCTTGCACTTGTCTATTCGGTAGACTAGAAGATACATCCTTAATAGTCCCCAGCAGGGCTGGACGCGGAAGTCTTCAATTCCTCAGCAAGCCCTACATTTGGGGAATGGCCTGGAGATGACTTCTTCCCCTTCCCCCACAGTTCACTACCTGTGGAATTACGGCTGAAATCGGTACTTCCAGCTGTCTCCAAGGGGGTGCCAGGGTGTGCAGTCTGCACGAGGGTGACTCACCAGGCCCAACCAAGGCAGAGGTCAAGGGAAGAAGACAAGCCCTAAACTTGATGGAAGGTAAACCCAAACTCTACACGTCCACACAGCCCAAACAGGAGCTTCTATCAGAAACCAGTCACACCCTAGACTTTCAGGAACAATAACCCTGGGATAAGCACTGTTTTCACCCTCAGGCCCTCTTAACCCTAAGGCCAAGATCCTGGGTCTGATAAGGCTCAGATTTTCCAGAAGGGATACGGGTCGAAGGGGCTCAAACCCCAAGCTGGGTCTGATGCTGGACTGGTAATGAGTGACCCGACCCAGGTCAGACCTAGGAAGTGGAAGGACCTACTTGACAAGGGCCGAAGGGGGAAGCAAGGCCGGCTTCCGACTGCCCCAGGGCGTCCCTGCCCTCACCTGCGGTTCCCTCTAATTTCTGGCCCCTGGTTCCCACCTTG